GCACAACGAAAAATACCGAAATCAACTCCTTACGAAGATATTTCATGATTCCTGATGCGTAAATTCAAACCACCCGCTCATGAAAACTCAATACTCTACGTGATTCACATCGCGCGCTAAACGTTATCATGACAGTATCTGCGATTTAAAAATGTGGCAACCTCAATTTTGACGCTTTGGCTCAGCTATAGCAAGTTGCTCATAATTTGAACAACACATGGTGGGAAATGAACATTACTCAATTGAGAAGTTTGCTGAAACCGTTTTAGTGCGCGATTTGACTCACGTAGAGCTTTGAGTTTCTTGTGAGCGGACAGTTCAAATTCCTCGTACCCAATGTGAAATAAAAACGTTGATATCTTCGTTAGGAGTTAGTTTCAGTAATATCCATCGCGCTAATCGTGTTCTACGTGAAATTCTGGTTAAGAAACATGTATCAGATTGCTTAAATTCGTACCTTGTCTAGTGGACCATTGTGTATTTTAGCCTCGTTTCCCGTTTTCCCCCCTTGTTTTTCTACAATTACCATTGTCTCGGGCTGCTCTTAAACATTTGTATATTTAAGAGGATGTTCGTTTAAAATTTAGACTCTCTTTTATATGCCATCTCTTGATTCGTCACGAACTTTTCTGATATGACATGGCAACTTAATGAGCCCAAAATGAAAGACGCAGAAACATTAATTGGGATTGATCCCGCAAATAATTCCTCGCGACTCCAAAATTTTCCGAACTCGTTTGGCGCAGGCTCCCCCTAATTCGATGCGTTCGCTACCATTCGTTAATTAGTTGTTGATGATGCAAGTACATTTCCAGGAAACGCAAAATACGCACCCTCATTTAATGAAATAACGCCGCATTTAATGAAAACACTAAATCAAACGTTGCCAGAGAAACTGCAACTGCCACGACTGAATTTCGAGAACTTTGCTTCGCAGAGTTGATTGGACTACGTTTTGCAATTAGGAACTACTATTTCCGGCTCATTTTAGAAACATCACTGGAAAAAAATAACTTGGATCTAGAGTCCAGACTCCAAATAACATTGACAAGAAAAAATACTCTTGATTCAATCCTATTTTTTCTTGAATCGAAGAGCCGAGCCTCTTGATTTGGGAGGATTTCCTTTCGATTCAAGCAAAGATTGAATCAAGAGTATTTTTTCTTGTCTGTGGATTCTATATCCAGGCGATGTTTTCTCCAGTGATTGCATAAACCGGTAGTTTCACTGTGCACATAAGTGATTTTATGAATAAGCTAAAAATACTTGTTACTTGCTGCAAAATGCGCGGTCCCAATACGAGGATTTTCCAAACTGCACGACGGTCTCAGTCTTCGGAACCGAAAAGATCATTGGGGCTGTTTATAAAATACGTAATGCTAGTAATTTGAATTTTTTCATCCCTTCACGTACTCTCCCTTGTAACGCGCCTGTAGTTCAAGTGGCGTGGCGTGTCTTGCGATATATCCTTGACCTGCCATGTAAACCTATAGAGAAGGATCGAAAAACAAGGTGTTCGCAATGTTCACCTGTAATCGATTCTTTACCACAGCTTCAAATGGTGAAATATCGATAATCGATCATTCACGCTTCGCAACTGGTCTTATACCTTTCTTTCCTGACAAAATGTACAACCTCCCCATGGTTTCCCCTCTCTAAAAATTAGATGAATCTTTGACGAACCTCAACTTTTCCCATTCTATTATTTAATTTATGAGAAATCTAATACAAATACAAAAAGAAATGATAGAAGTAATAGGAAGTAAGGTGAGGATTTCAAATATGTTTTATTTCTAAAATTTAAAGAGGAAGGATAAGCAAGCAAAAGAAAATATTAAAAATATACTTAAACATTAAATCCAATTAAATTAAAATATTTCTTAGAAAAAGAAATCCTCTTTAACCTTTTTTTCCAAAAAAATCACTTAACGCTGTCCAACTCCCTCTACCCCCTCCATACCGTTGGCTCAACCACCTAGAGTGTTGCGTATTTTGAAAACGGCTGCCCATCATCGCCTCTTTTTACCGAAGTTTTTTCCCCGTGTATCATTCAATCTCTGTGTTTAGACTTTAATTGCCGGATAATCCAGTCGCTCGAATACATAAATAAATGCATAAATCTGACAATACGAGGCCAATCAGAACTGTTGCGCCGACATCGATGAGGAAAATCCGATTAGTTTGTCATCGCCTTATTACGAGTGTTGATATGTTGCGTGTGCTGCTGGGCCGAGGAAGAACGCCGTATGAGCATTTAGACGTCGCCAAATTTCCTTCGACAAATCACGAATTTTCGCTGATATTTGTAAATATTTTTCTTTCAATTTTTCAGAGAATTTTGTTCGTATTTGGATGCAAAATGTCTGAAAATTTCAAGAAAAAATATTCATAATTTTACTCGAAAAAGAAAATTTTATGAGAGAAAATTTGGCAACATTCGAGTGCCCATGCGGCGTTTTTCCTTAGCGCGGCAGTATGGCATTCGCGAGCCGCGTTCGACTAATCCGAAAGCGCGCGTGTAGCTTTTGACCAGTGCGAGTGTTGGAATGATCGTCGCGCCGAACACATGTGCAACCGCGAGACACACGAGGGAGGGTGTGTGTGTGCCGGTTTTCGAGTGTGCGTGTTTCTCCGGCATGAATTTCAGCAATGATTAAGGTAGGATTAATGAGTCACCTCTTAAAACTAGCCTGGTGCAGCGATTGACTCGCGTTCGGATGAAACCACTCATCTCTACTGCCGTGCTAAGGAAGAACGCCGTATGAACATTCGAGAGTTGCCAAATTTCCTCCGATAAAATGTGTATTTTTGAGGCAAGTTTTGAATTTTCCTTGAAATTTTCAGGAACTTTAGGTGAAATTGCGAACAAAATTATTCTAAAAATTGGGAGAAAAGTATTCATAAGTTCGCTAGAAAATTCGTGTTTTATCAAAGGAAATTTGGCAACGCCTGAAGGCTCATACGGCGTTTTTCCTCAGCACGGCAGTCTAGTGGAAGAATATGTGCAGATGTGCTGATTTTAAATGATCCTTTTCGGGAGTCGGAATGTGGCTATGCAGAAAGATCTTACGAAGGGCGAATTTCCAATTCACGGTGCCTTCCGGTGTGATTCGGTGATGCATAATAATGCTCGTGGACCAGCTGCACGTGTCGCAGGATTGTGTTTTGATGGTTGGATCCACACGGATAATTTACAATGTCAATAATCATTAGATTTCTGGTTTAAAGTGTATGTCATCGAATTCGTTGCGTCCCCTATCAAAAGAACGTAACTGAATTGCATAATTCCAAAATTTCCATATGTTTATTGTGTCTGTATACTGGAAAAAAACACATTGGATCTAGAGTCCAGACTCTTGAAAACATTGACAAGAAAAAGGACTCTTGGTTCAATCAGATTTAAACTTAAATCAAAAGGAAATCCGCTCAAATTAGAGGCTTGGTTTTTGATTTAAGCAAAAATCCGATTGAATCAAGAGTATTTTGTCTTGTCGATGTTTTTAAGAGTCTGGACTCTAGCTCCAATGTGTTTTTTCTTTTTTCCAGTGTACCACGTAACTATGTTGGATGCCTCTGACTGAAAATTTCGACGACGCGCCGAAACAGCGAAATTTTGGGCAAAAGTCGGTCCTTCTCCTCTAAAATTTGAATTATTTGGGTCAGTTTTGCAACGTCGAAATGGATTTACGTTCCTAAACGTGGGAAACGGTGGTATGATCCCCGGTTTATTCGTAACTAGTAATAGATTTCTCGGGACTCACATTCTGGGGGCGATTTTGATTTCCCGGGAAACACTCTCCAGGAGCCATGGGAACAAGTCATGCGCAGTTTTAATTTAATTTTCTCACCACAAAGGACGTTAGCTGTTCTTTGTCTGTGTATTTTTGTCAGAATTCTCATTATGTTAGAATTCCCAAATTTAACCTAAAACTTGGGAATTGTTGTTTTGGAACTTCAGAACGTCACATCTCCCTCAATGTTCGAGCTTTCAGGGTCTTTGCATTGAAATGTTCAGATTTTCTTCCTCGAAGCTTGATACGAATAACTCGATTTTGAATGAATGGAAGATACGAAATAGGCGGATCCGATGAAAGGGGGGGCATACATCCCTCCCCCGTTTGATCGAAATAATGGAAACGGAAAGAACGAAAGAAATAAGGAACTGAGGAAAGAAGAAGAGAGGACGCGTATATTTGGTAAATATTTATGACCAAATTGACTCAAACAGAGGCGTGGGTTGAAGTATCGATTATCGATTTTTCTCCATTTGAAGCTGTAGTAAAGAATCGATTGTCAATGTGTTCGTTGCGAACACCTTGATAATCGAGCATTTTCCATAGATTTAAATGGCAGATCAATCGATGTATCGCAAAGCACGCCACGCCACTGGACTCAAACTGCATGTTAGATGCATTTAAATTTCGATATCTGAAAGAAGCCTCCCGGTACTCCTTTACACCCTTCCCGTTCGAAGTGTCTGGATCCGTCCATGAGATAAGGTCCCTCTTCATAAATCCTACACATCCTCCACAAAAAAAAAGTTTCGGGCTTACCGTCCGCATTCCGGGCTCAGAGGCGAAAGTTCCGGGTTCTGAAGCCGTGGCTTCGATTACTCCGGGCGCCACGCCCGGAACATTCAGCCTCCGTAATTACGACTTCCACGGCCGCACTGAAAAAAAAACACATTGGATCTAGAGTCCATACTCTTAAAAACATCGGCAGTGAAAAATACTTTCGATTCAATCGGATTTTTGCTTAAATCAAGAACCAAGCCTCTTAATTTGAGCGGATTTCCTTTTGATTTAAGTAGAAATCTGATTGAATCAAGAGTATTTTTTCGTGTCAATGTTTTCAAAAGTCTGGACTCTAGATAGAATTTTTTTTTTTTTCTCTCTCTCTCTCTCCAGTGCGTAGCTTTTACCCCAGTGTATCACATTTTTATTTTCGTCCACCAAACTTTTTCCACTTGGCTCTAACCCTCGGACCCCGATTTGTTGCAGGAATCCTTCCTGTTGGAGGTGCCGACGTTCGGTCCGGACAGCTTCTCGCGGCCGATCTCGCTGCTGGTGGAGTACCCGGAGCGGGAGGAGGATGTCCTCAGCGGCTCGACGATCAAGGTGCCGACGCCGGCGGGGGCGGGGGCGGTGGGCGCCAAGCCGAGCGCCTCCCCGCAGATCCGCGCCCTCTCCAACAGCCTCTTCAAGACCTGCTACTCCGGCAGCAACAACCAGCAGCCCCTCCTCCCCTCCGCCCGCCTCGAGGACTGCCTCCCGCCCTGCTACCACGGCGCCAAGACCATGGCCAAGCTCATCAAGGTAGGCAACCACCATGGATTTTCCGTCGCCAGGGACCGACCCTAACAGTGGCGTGGCGTGCTATGCGATATATCCATTGATACCCCACTCAAACCTATGAAAAAAGATCGATTATCAGGGTGTTCGCAGCGAACACCTAAGTAATCGATTCTTCACCATAGTTTCAAATGGCGAGATATCGATAATCGATCTTTCACGCCACGCGACTGGACCCTAAATCGGCCAGTAGCGCTGCAAACCCACACTGAAAAAAAAATCTCGGTGTATTTACCAAGAAAATGGTAAAATTACCAAGAATTCAGGGTTCTATTTGATTCCAGTTTTTTCTTGGTAAAATTACCGTTTATGGAATTGGTAATTTTACCGAGAAATTTAGGTAAAATTATTGAACTCTCTCGGTAATTTTACTTGACCTTGGTAAAAACGCCAATATTTCTTATCGACTGTGGTAGAATTAACGAGATGAAATGGCAAAGTTACCGGGAATTGATTAGCAATAAAAGTGGTATTCTTGCCTGAAAAAAAAACGGTAAAAATACCGGTTTTTAGGTAAGTTTACTAGTCTGCCTTATGGTAAAATTACCGATAATTGGTGAAAAAAGTGAGATGGAAAAGGGACCAACGGACCTTGGTAAAAACGCCGAGAATTTTTTTTCAGTGCGAATCGTGTTTTGGTGCTTGATTCTTGTAGATTACACTGGAAACAAAAAAAAAAACCACATTGGATTTAGAGTCCAGACTCTCGAAAACATTGACAAGAAAAAATAATCATGATTCAATTGGATTTTTGCTTAAATCAAAAGGAAATCCGCTCAAATTAAGAGGCTCGGTTCTTGATTTAAGCTAGATTCTGATTGAATCAAGAGTACTTTTTCTTGTCGATGTTTTTAAGAGTCTGGACCGTAGATCCAATGTGTTTTTTTCCAATGTAGTTAAAAATAAGAGGATCNTTAAAAAACCACATTGGATCTAGAGTCCAGACTCTCGAAAACATTGACAAGAAAAAATAATCATGATTCAATTGGATTTTTGCTTAAATCAAAAGGAAATCCGCTCAAATTAAGAGGCTCGGTTCTTGATTTAAGCTAGATTCTGATTGAATCAAGAGTACTTTTTCTTGTCGATGTTTTTAAGAGTCTGGACCGTAGATCCAATGTGTTTTTTTCCAATGTAGTTAAAAATAAGAGGATCGGTCCAAACAGCAACTTTCTACGTTGAACATTAACCAAGATCTATCCATATAGATCAGTCATTTCGCAGATTTCCCCACTCGGAGTCGCCCTTGTCTATTGGAGCAGTGGTGTGGCGTGAATTGCGATATATCGATTGTTATGCCATTTAAACATATGGTAAAGAATCAATTATTAAGGTGTTCGCTGCGAACACCCTATCTATCGATCCTTTTCCATAGGTTTAAATGGCAGATCATTCGATACATCGCAAAGACGCCACGCCACTGCATTGGAGCGTGACGTCCCGTCGGTATTACTGCCGCGAAAACCAGAAAGCTGGGAAACGATGCTTTTCTTATGGGAGCACTGTCGCGCTTCCTTTTTTCAATGTGACTTTCCAATGGTATTTTTCACTATCACTAAAAAAGCATGAACTATGAAATTTCGCCAGTGTTCATGTGAAAGAGCAATTATACTTATCGGTAAAAAATTGAAAATATTTAGAATAAATAATGGCGTCCTTGTGTAGAACAGTACACGTAGAGGGAATTTTACATCGTCTGATGTCCAATGCTGCTCTAAAAAGTGCGACAACACTCGAGCGGTAAACTTACTGGACCGCTACTTTGTTCAAAACGCCTTGATGCATCTATTCGTACTCCGGGAATGTCTGTATTGCATAGCCTGTAAATTGAAGGCGTTTTGACTTTCCTATCCCTTGCAATGCGCTATCCGTTTCACGGAATTCCGTATCCGGTGGGATAGCTCACGATCTTGCTGATTGATCATACTGCTTATGGTCAATAATGTGTAGACATAGTCGTCGACAAAATTTTTTATTGGCTTGTTGGTCTTTGACATTTCGACAAAATGGGTCCGTTTTCCCAATCACAAAATCGCGTTTTCATTATTTTGCTTATAAATTATAAAGAAATAATAAGATCTTTCCTGGCGCCTATTTTCTATGGCAGATATTAACGGAGCGTTTGCATCTCAAAAAACACGCGTGTGACGTCATCCATCGCAGTTAAGCACACCATGATTTCCTCCCCCTTTAAATCATCAATTGATACACATATTTGTATTGGAAGCTCCATTTCAAACTCGTATGAAATGGAGGAAGGAAATATGGTATGCACCACTGGTAATAGTGATGTCAGCGAGGTTGACAGCACTGTAAGTACTCCATTTAAATTTATTAAATATATCGATTGTTTGTGAGGCTGGCTGGTCTCACCTATAAAATTGATTGTTCATCATTTGAAATGGAAAAAAGTGTTACCTTTTTGCAAGAACCACCACTGATCACCGCGGCGGATGACGTCATAGGTCATGTTTGTAACGACCAAAATTTTCTTCGTCATTATATACCGGGGAACTTGGTGTTTGTGTAGATCTTACTTCATAGTTTGTTGATCTATAATCTATAGTAATCAAAACGCCTTTCTTACCAACTCAACCGATCCGTGAAATAAAAAGGAACCAAACTGTTTCTTTTCATTTTTCAATTTTTTGATCAGAAATAAGTTCGGAAAAGTTTGTGCCTACCATATTTTTGTGCTCGGAGTTTCGAGTAACGTGAGCCCTATCCGACGCCCAATCGAGGTCATCTCAAAACAAGAAAGGTCAGGAACGCTTTTATTCTTCTTCGGCTCTGGTTCCTCTGAAATTATTATTGACACAGTGAACCGCTGACCTTTCAACCTGCCTGGTTCCTCGCATAAACGAGAATTTGAAATCCTGATTTACTGTGAAAGAAACACATAGCGCTAGTATAAGCTTTACGAAGATATGCTGTTTTCTCTCAACGTAACTGATCGCAAAATCGCATTTCAAAGTCGAAGGTGACTTAGATCCACGCGGATTGTGAGCAACTACTTCGCCCGAAGATCTGTTTTCAATGGCGCGACCCAGGCATTGTGAGACCTGTCCCATTGTCACCCTCTTGGAATCTCTTTGCGTTTCTCCGACTCGCGGGCAAAAGCCACCACTTGTTGAATACAATCAGATGCGGTCGGACACTTGTTGCGAAAGGTCAGGCAATCAGACAGGGAATCAGTAGCACGGGTCTCGAAGAAGAAGCTTTTCTGAGAAAATAGTTCTGTCATATTTATACGTGTTATTTTTAACCTTGTTTCGCTTGTATTTCTTACTTTGCACTGGAAAAAAAAACACATTGGATCTAGAGTCCAGACTCTTGAAAACATTGACAAGAAAAAATACTCTTGATTCAATCAGATTTAAGCTTAAATCAAAAGGAAATCCGCTCAAATTAAGAGGCTTGGTTCTTGATTTAAGCTTAAATCTGATTGAATCAAGAGTATTTTTTCTTGTCGATGTTTTTAAGAGTCTGGGCTCTAGATCCAATGTGTTGCTTTTTCTGAAGCCGTCGTTTCCCGGGCGGAGGAACGTAGCTCCATTCCAAGGTTGCAAAATTTACTGAAACGATTCAATTTTTTACGAGAATGTCACCGTGAAATATATTCCTAAAATTTTCCTGATTTTTGCATGAATTCAGGGGAGAAATCAGTGAAATTTCCAGTTAGAAATATCCAAGATTCACCCGGTAGACCTGTAATATGCAATGGGAAATTTGGCATCGTTGAAATGCAGTTGCGTTCTTTTGTGAGGGGAACGACGGAAAATCACAATCTGAAGATTTGAGGGTAACCGTTTGAAAGTTCGGGAAGCGGCGATGAACGGTCCGAGTTGAATTAAAAAGGCCCAAGTCACATCGTGTTCGTGGCGATTCTTGCACGTTAGCAACTTTGTTTTTTTCTCCACTTGAATACATGTTAAACAATCTACTCTAGATGCGACAACCTGTCTCGATATCGAGACAGGCTTAGAAAATAATTAAAATTTAGGCACTCAGGAAGCTTAAATATGTTCTACTATATGCCAACTTTTACGAAAAAATTAAAGTATTATGCTTCTCACCTTTTTACTGAAATAAAATCAAAGCAAAAATGAAATTAGACAACGTCGTAATTAAACAACCCGAGATGCGTTTCAGCTGAGTCTGGTATGAGCCATTCATTAACCTTTTCCATAACTGCAACAATAACCGTCATTTTTTAATCAGTCGTAATTTTGATAATTAACTCCAACAACTTAAAATTATCTGGGTCAAGTGCCATCTACTGCAAATCCCTCTTATATTTGACCATAGGTTTTGATTCTATTTCCTTTCGTCTTTAGCAAAGCCAGACTGTACTCCCAACCACGAACGACCTCCTACTAGACAAAGATCGATCAAATTCAAACGCAATAACGTAAATGCACTTACTATAAAACCGCCATTCTTGTCTCAAAGGCTTCCGGACCCGCCCCTCCTTTCCTCTCGAACCACCCCATCGCACTCCCCCTACCCCCCTTCTATTTATCTTTGCACTCCGTTCGCACTTTTGACAGCAAGTTTCTGAGTCGGACAAACATTGATGTAGCCAAATTGTATCGAAAAATGTTTACTTGTTGTTCAAGAGTGGTTCTTTGCAAGTCTCGAATTTTTATGCAAAGTTCAGCGAAGTACACGATTCGGCTGAAAGTTCTGTCCGAAGAAGCTCACTCCCTTGGAGAGCGAGTCCACCTCAATTAAAATCTGCGAATATAGAACAAGGTGGAGAAATGGTGCTGGGTCCACACCATTTCGCGGGGAAATCAAAGCCAAGGAGTTCCAAAAATTAAAATTAGAGTCAAAATTGGAACTCCTATTTGGAGTAATTTTTGGAACTCCTTGGCTTTGATTTCCCCGCGAAATTGTGTGGACCCAGCACCATTTCTCCACCTTGTTACATACAGTTTCGGGTCACTTCTTAGTGTTGTTTT